CAAAGGATTGTGAACGAGACCCGAACACACCACCAACATCAACTACAAACTTCACCCAAGCAAGCAACCCACAAATCCATTACTGAACGTATCCATAAAACACGACCGTTAACCAACCCGCGCTATATCTCAAGGTAGGATGACGGCTGCAATCGCATTTTTATAGTCCCTTTTCTAAATTCAAAATATTTTTAAAATGCCTAAACACATGAAAAAAATGCCTAAACACATGAAATTAATGACCAAACACATGAAAGAAATGCCTAAACAAATGAATTTAATGCCTAAACACCTAAAAGAAATGCCTAAACACATGAAAGAAATACCTAAACACATGAATTTAATTTCTAAACACATGAAAGAAATATCTAAACACATGAAATTAATATCTAAACCCATGAAAAAAATACCTAAGTTTTTTATGGAATACCTAAACACGTTAAAGAAATACATCAACACATGAAATTAATGATTAAACACCTGATAGAAATGCTTAAACGCATGAAATTAATGTCTGAACACATGAAAGAAATACCTAACTGCATGAAAAGAAATACCTAAACACGTGAAAGTAATACCTAAACACATGAATGAAATGCCTAAACAAATGAAAGGAATATTTAAACACATGCAAGAAACACCTAAACACATAAAAATACCAAAACAAGTGAAAACAATACCTAAACACATGAAAGAAATATCTAAACACTGGAAAGTAATACGTAAACACATGAAAAGAATTAGAATTAAGAAATGACAACATATAATCTAGGAAGGGCCAAGATATTTATTTTATATTTTTTAAGATAATATTTGTAATATTTTCTCTGTGAAAAAACACTGGATAATAGAGCCATATAGATTTCCAAGTATTGAAAACATTTAAGGTATTGAAGACATTTATATATCTCTTCTGGCATTTGTTGCATTGCAGCTCCAGACCAGAGACCAGATTCGTTGACAGGGTGAAGATTACTCTTCGACCAGATCGTTACCTACAAGTGACGAACAAAACAATTTTCTAGCAGTAAACCAGATTTTATTCGTAGACTTTATTCATATAAGCGAGCAAAGGCGAATTGAGACATAAGTGAGGGGGGTGCACAGTCAGCGGCTGTCGGACGTGTTTCTGCGAGGCCCGCGTCTTTCATTCTGTCCTGCATTTATGCAGTATCGTCAGCCTTATAGACAACAGGCTTCTTTGTCCTGTCATCTTCGTCCGAAACAATAATTAATCTTACTTTCGTTAGTTCTCCTCACTCTGTTCCTTTTGTGCTTTTAAGTCGACTTCAATTACTGATATCCGTCGGACGAAAGTAAGTGTTCCGTGTCGAGTTGTCTTAAATTTAATTCAAATTCTACACATTGAAAGCATTTATATGGTTCTAATGGTATTCAAAACTTTTATATAGTTCTGGCATTGAAAACCTTTATATATCTCATATAGCATTGAAGGTATTTATATAGTCATACTGCTACACATTAAAAACATTTATATGGTTCTCCTGGTATTCAAAACATTTACATAGTTCTGGCATTGAAGACATTTTATATATCTCATATAGCATTGAAAGTATTTATATATAGCACATTCAAACATTTATATAGGTTCACATTAAAAAAACATTTATATGGCTCATTGAAGACATTTATATATCTCATATAGCCTTGGTATTTATATAGTCATATTCTGCAAACATTTATATAGTTCATTTGGCATAGTTTGAAGACATTTATATATCTCATATAGCATTGAAGGTATTTATATAGTCATAACTGCTGCACATTAAAAAAAACATTTATATGGTTCTCCTGGTATTCAAAACATTTACATAGTTCTGGCATTGAAGACCTTTATATATCTCATATAGCCTTGAAGGTATTTATATAGTCATACTGCTGCACATTAAAAACATTTATATGGCTCACCTGGTATTCAAAACATTTACATAGTTCTGGCATTGAAGACCTTTATATATCTCATATAGCATT